CGGCGGCGGCGGCGGCGGCGGCGGTGGACGGTGGACGGTGTTGTCATCGTCGTCGTCAGAGTAGTTAATAAGTAGTGGTGGTGGTGGCGGCGGTGGCGGCGGCAGCAGTAGCAGCAGTAGCAGCTAGTAAGAAATCTTTACTCTAACCGTGAGATTGGCGGATTCGGAAAACAAGCGATTGTAGTGTTTGTGTCTGAGATTTGTAATGCCGGCGTTGTCGTGATTTCGCAGACATTGAGTTTGAGCCCGTCTCTGGTAACTACTACCCCATCATCTACTTCAACGACTACTGGAACATGCTGGGCGACTATCAGCCCATCAATCACACCACGCCGTACGTATCACAAGTAGTGTGCTTCTCACACGTGTATCATTGAGCGTTGAACACTAGTTGCTGTGCGAATCGAATCGGCCTCCAGTGTTCCCAGTGTTTCTGTGCGTTACTGACAGCATAACGTTGGCTGCTTTGAGACGTGTTTCAACTTTCAGCGTGTTCGTGGCAATGCCTCACAGTGTTTAGAGATCCGAATGAGTGCCGGTGGTTTTGTCTTGGCATCTTCTTTCCGTGACCATAAAAATTGTTGTGGACGAGCGTTTGGAAATACGTCATTGCCACGTACATTCGTTGCTATGGCGACAGTGTAGTATTGCAGCATTGTCATTCTTTGTTGCTACGGCGACGGTGTGCTAACGCGGCGTTGTGTTTCGTTGCCGTGGTGACAGTGAGCTGAACCTGACGCTGACCTACAGTCCGATCTCGCTCTTCAAGTGGCAGATGTACGCGGCACAGTCGATGCGAAACAAGTGGACGTCTATGCTGGGCGAGGGCATGATGGAGGAAGCTGACGACACGGATCAGGACACCTTGAAGGTACGATGTCAAAATTGATTGTTTCGTCGAAAGAAATTTCAACTGGAAAAAAAATTGAGCCTAAATTTTCAAGGTATAGTCGGGTGGTTACGTTGAGCACGGAGTTGCATATTGACTCAGCCACAGTGGCCATGGTCTCGGCTGTATTCTGTGAACCTCTGTTTTAAATGTGAAATTTATATGTAGTAGGTTTATTACCTGCTATTTGCACTGTGATATAATGTAGTGACATGTGCGTTTAGTATGCTACTGGCACTAGTGTGTGATATATTAATTTAAGGTTAGTGCTATACTTAATAAAAATAATTACTTAGTAATTAACTACACAGAATTAGTATGCTACTGTCAGTCATAGGCGTTGGTATGTACTAAAATAAAATTTTGCACAAATTTTCGTGTCATTTCACGCTTGGATTACGAGTAATTAAGTACACAGAATTAGTTTGCTACAGTCAGTTGTAGACGTTGGTATATACCAAGATCAAATTAGTACAAATTTTCATGTTGTTCTACTACTAATTAGCACTACAACTAGTTGCGACTAATTACGACTAATTGCCTGGATATGTTTTTGTACTTGAGCAGCAAGCGATGTTGGAGACAAATCCATATCTGCTAGGTCTCACCGTCGTCATCTCCATCGTCCACAGTGTCTTCGAATTCCTCGCTTTCAAGAACGGTAAAGTGTCCTAATCGTGTTTAATCGGTGGCAAAATGTCCTACTGGAGGTTGTAACGATTGGTGTCGTAATCGTATAGGCAGCGATCGTTACTTGTGTCGTGTCGTGTCGTATGGGTGCCAGTGAAAAAAATACACGGGGGTTGGGGGCGATTTAGCCCCCGAAATGCCAAAAAGAGCCCCGGAAATGCCAAAAAAAAGCCCCCGTAAATTTGCATAGAGTTCAATGCAAACCAAATTTTAGAGTGCTATTTTCATGCACGCGAGTTTGAAAAGTAGCCCCCGAAAAATTAATTTTAATTTTTTCCCTGATGGGTGCGTAGTGTGGCTGCTGTGATCTCATCATGTAGTTAATCGTGTAGCATAGTTGTCACTGTTGTATTTCTAAAGTAAAGACTGAAAAACCAACCTTTAATATATAATACGAACAACGAATTTATTCCTGTTCAGTGCAGGCTGCCACATTGGTGTTTGCCACTGGCTTCGGGGAAGTACTTGGCGCCACCTATTGGGCCCGCTATGGCGCATGTTACAATATTCTCACAGTCACATTCTCATGGTGTTTTCTTTCTGCAGATATACAGTTCTGGAACAGTAGGAAGTCGTTGGAGGGTCTGTCCGTTCGCTCGGTCTTCTTCAACGTGTTTCAGGTGCTTATCTCGGCGCGTCCGTTCATTCGTGCGTGCGGCAGGGTGGGGGTGGGGGGTATGGGATTGTGTTTCTGCTCATCTGGTAGCCAATTGTGATGCAATTTGATTCTATTTTTTCTATATTTTTCCTATATTTGATCCTTTTTCTATTTTTACTCTGCGAGGTGGTAGTGTGTCATTTGGTATTACCTGTTCCATTCACCAGGTGGCCATTTACCGCGTGGTGTTACCTCAAAGTGGCTGTTTATCGTGTCATGTTACCTCTTCCCTCCACCAGGTGGCTGTTTATCGTGTCATGTTACCTCTTCCCTCCACCAGGTGGCTATTTGTAGTGTTGTGAAGACACGGTTCCATATCGCGACATGGAGACATAGATTGCGAGGGAAATCAGTCAGGGTGATGTTACACGTTTCCTCTAGTAGGTGGTAGCTGTTTAGTTTATGGCGTGGCCTTGTGTGTTACAGTCGCTGATCGTGCTGCTCTACGTTCTGGACAATGACACGAACACAGTCGTGCGCATCAGTGTGTTCGTCGGACTCGGAATCGAGATCTGGAAGATTCCGAAGGTCGTCAATGTCAAGGTACGCAGCGCCGGCCGCTCGCTCGCTAAATGCACGGCTCGCTGAATGCAATGTTGTGTGCGCGCATCCCCGCGTACGCACGCGTATATGTATACTTGATACAATAACTTTATATCTGTGTGTGTGTACGTCCGTGCGTGTGCGCGCCTGCACACGTGCCTAATATGGTGACTATAATTTATATCCGGATGTGTGCGTGTGCATGCACGTGTGCGTATGTGTGCTCGTGTGCGTGGGCACGAGTGTGAGTGCACGCATGCCCGTGTGCGCGCAGGAGTGCGTGAGTGTTTGCAAGCATGCAGGTACTGGTGTGTGGTTGCATTTCTGCGTGTATGCATACATATTTAGAACAATAACTATATATATATGTGTGTGTATGTGTGAGTGAATTTATTACTATTTAACGTTGCCTTTCCGTAGGTCGACTGGGAGAATAAGCTGTTCGGCATCATTCCACGGGTTTGGACTGAAGACAAGGGAACGTATGTAACATCTTCCACCAAGCAATACGATGAGGTAAGTTGTGCACCAGCTGCTGTGGTGCTACCAGTACATTGCAGGCAGTCCCTGCTGTGTGCAGTGTGTGTGGGTGTGTCACATGAATGTGAGTATGTGTGTGTGTGCAGAGGAGAACTGACAGGAAAACTATAATCGGGATAGTCAGCTCGGCGTGAAATTATACGACGCTGTAAAGCCTTGAGAGATTTCGGAAGAGAAGACATTTACAAACAAACTAGCACTCAGATGTAGGCAGATGTAGACAAAATAAAAACGAAAGTCTTCCTATTCTAGTTGCCGCAAGCATTAGTTTAGTCCTGCACAATGTAAAAGTTTAATAATAAAAACAATTGATTCATAAACTTGGTTATGATGCAACTTTAAATCCGATCAATTTTAACAGCCTTGTCGGATTACCGCAAACACGAGAACAGTCGAGATTGCGCTGTAGCTGTTTGTGTGAAGCTGCGCTAATGTGTGGTGCCGTGTGTTTTTACGTTTTCAGCTAGCTTTCAAGTATCTGTCGTGGCTGCTGTTCCCGTTGCTAGGCGCCTACGCAATCTACTCGCTGCTCTACCAGGAGCACAAGGGCTGGTACTCGTGGGTGCTGTCCATGCTCTACGGCTACCTACTAACGTTCGGTGAGTAGTGAGTGCTCCCTCATGTGGTGTTCATGGTGCAGGACGTCCCTGTACTTTCCCCCATGGCAACTCGAAATCTCGGTTTGGGGGTTAGCTCGGCGCACGCACGCACGCACACAGGCAATTGAATTTGAGCACACTCTCTTCCATGCAAATATTCTACCCATATTTAATTATCGCGATCGATTATCGATTTGTTTGCTATATCATTATATATTTGATATATTATTATTATATATTTTATATTTTATATATGATTTTATTATTTCATATTTTATATATGATTTCATTATTTCATATTTTATATATGATTTTATTATTTCATACTTCATTGATTATTGGTCGATCGCGTTGTTTGCCGCAGGCTTCATGCAAAACTCTACCTGATATACGCACTTGTTAAATTATTATTTAATAAAATTGAAATAATTTAATGTTGAAAAATGAAAATTGTTAAATTAAATTTGTTGTTGTTAAAATTGTTGTTCGCCCGCAGGATTCATCATGATGACCCCGCAGCTGTTCATCAACTATAAGATGAAGTCGATCGCACACTGCCATGGCGCATGCTCACCTACAAGGCCCTCAACACCTTCATCGACGACATCTTCGCATTCGTCATCAAGATGCCGACGATGTACCGCATCGGCTGCTTCCGCGATGGTGAGTCGCGCTAGATGGCGCCACGTGCGGCGGTCGTTCGTGCGATGACCGTGCTGAGAATGAATTTTTTCGAAAACGCTAGAATGTTAATGTGTTTTTATAGGTCGTGGTGATCGTTTGCAATTGGCGATGGCCGAGAATGAATTTCTCGAAAACGCTAGAATATTTTTTAATTTGGTTTGTGTGATAGATGGGGTGGTGAATTTTTATTGAAAACGTGAGAATCTTATTGGGATTTGGTTTGTGTGATAGATGGGGGTGGTGAGGTCTGGTGGGGGTGGTGAATTTTTAGCTCATCTGACATAGTCAGATGCAGCTTGTAGAATCGCTTGATCGTCCGTCCGTGCGTCCGT